TGAGAAAACAATAATTTAAAAACCAATAACACTTTTCCATGTGGGATGTTGTGTGTTTGGGCATCCAACAAGAACAATGATGTTTTGTTTCAGAAAAATTTATTTTTCTCTGTAGTTTCTCATTTTATAGGAGAACAATATCTGGATCCATAATTTTTCCAGATCATTATTCTGTTTGATAGTTCTCATATTCTAACCTTTATTTTATAAAAATTGCTATTAAAATTTTTGCATTTTCTAGGATGAAATGACTGAAAGATAACCAATGTTTCTAGCTAAGTTATGTCTCAGTCAAATTCATTCTACCAAAGAAAAAACACGATTCTAATTACACGATGAAAATACATTGATAAATATGGATGATTATGTGATGCGTTTGAATCATAAAATCAATTCAAACCTATCTAAGCTCCGAGTTTAACATTTTGGATTATCTTAAATAAATGTTCAAGCATATTTCGCACCAAAAACATAAAGGAAAATAATTAAATAGCACTACATAGTACATAAAACTTTGAGTACAAAACACTCACAGTTACCCGTCTTTTAAGGATTCACTATAAAAAAATCAAAATATCAATGACACAAATGAGGTATTTTACAAAAAAAAATCTACACAAAAATCTAAGTTTAAAAACCATAAAGAGTATTAACTTACCAGCCTAATAGTCTTCGGGAGTCGCTCTCTAACAGCACTGAAACAACAGTCCATGAAATTAAACCAGAAAGAAAAAACAAAAATCAAACACTACCCTGCATTACACAAACAACTCTACCCAACAGTTTTATTATGTATTTAAAAAATTAAACCTCATTGGGATTTCAGTCAATTATATTATGGAGTACAAGGCAATGAAAAATTAAATAAAACACTTTCTAAATTAAACTGTTAGCAATCATGGTCCTAAAAGTTTTTGGTTTTTTTTTACATAATAATTCAAAAAGTAAGATTATTTGTATTTCAGCTCACTTTTTAATATGTAATTCTCTAATAAATCAAAATAAGCTACATTTCAGTAGCTTCATGTCTAACTGCAAAACAATGTGAACAGACTAGTAATGGGGAGCTTAGGTAGCTACAAGAGATTATCACCAGACTTGCAAGTATATACTTTATATCAAACAAGTATCCCATTGGGAAATTAGGCCTTCAATTGTGTTTAGAACACCCGAGTTATACAGTACTTTTTAAGTTATATAGATCTGTTAGATAACTTAACTGGGTAAGTCAGTCTATGATCTAGGTATAAGTGATAATTCAGCAGATGTGTATGCAGTACTGTCATTAATATCAGTTTGAAAGTTAAAGATCTCCTTATAACAAATTCCTTAAGTAAAAATTCTGCCTATTTCGCAAACAGCAAATAAAACACAAAATCTTTAAAAATTATGCATCTCATCAGCAATGAGGGGTAACATTTAACCCTTTCAATTAGAGCAATTAATTTGCCTTAAATCTTAAGTTCATAATAACACAAACTAGAAGAGACAACATTTAGAAGAAAGACATCATCCACTTCACAGCAGTGTACTTCCCAAGAAAGACTGGTCATCAGGTAGATCTGGTGCCTGTCTCATCTGGGGAAAGCCAGTAATAAGATCGACCCTACCTAATGTAAGAAGACTGGTCTTTAAACTTGTCACAGAGTGGATTACCATCCAAGTAGAGTTCTTGCAACTCCAGACCCTTTAGAAAATTCAGCTCACCAATGGTACTTAACTGTAAAAAAAAATAATCGGTTATACGAAACTATGAGATTCGTGAATAATACAAAACGAAACACTGTTGTCTATAATCACACTTGCACAACCATTTAATTTTAAAATTATTGAATAGAATGATTCCATTACTTTTAAGATGGAATTAAATATGAATATTACAAAATAAATAATAAAAACTATCTTTAAGTTTAAATATGAATATTATAAAATAAATAAATAAAAAACTATCTAAGTTTAAATATGAATATTACAAAATAAATAAATAAAAAACTATCTTTAAGTTTAAATATGAATATTACAAAATAAATAAATAAAAACTATCTAAGTTTAAATATGAATATTACAAAATAAATAAATAAAAAACTATCTTTAAGTTTAAATATGAATATTACAAAATAAATAAATAAAAACTATCTTTAAGTTTAAATATGAATATTACAAAATAAATAAATAAAAAATTATCTTCAAGACAAATAACAAACATTTAAGTATGTATATTACAAAATACATTAAAAACTATCTTAAAAACAACTGTTAAAAATGCAAAGTAACAAACTTAAAAACTGCTAATATTCTCAGTTAAGGTACATTAACTCACACAGTTATTCCCTAAGATCAAGCTTTTCAGTTCTTTGCATGTGGATACTAGACTGGACAGAGGTTCTAAGCGATTCAATTTGTTGCCTGACAGGTCAAGTTTCTCTAACTGTAAAAGAATTTACAATAAAATAAAAATACATTTAAGCCTTGCTCACCAATAGGCAGTAAGAGTAGTTTAGCTTTTTTATTTTACACATAATTCTTTGGAACTTAATGAGACATTTGTTTGTAAACCACCGACCATTACAAAAATTAACCAAAAAAACATGAACCATTCAGCAAAAGAAAGTTTTACATTATCAGAATCAATTTTTATACCTTGTTTCTTCTGTATCCTCTTGGGTACATGATTCATAACAATGTTTTTGGATCACAGAATTAACATAGTTTTAAAGACAAAACACAAGGTATGTTAGACTTATAAGACTGAAATAACAGATATAACTTGTTTCTTATGACTGACCATGTTCTGATAATGTACGATGTAAAACATACTGACTCTAAAATGTCAGGATGTATTGATTCAATGCACCTATTGAATGATTTGTTTTATTGCATTTCAAAAATAAAAACTACTGAACAAAATACTGTTAAACTTGAGATTAACTTTCTACAGATTATGTAGCTTCTGCATATATATTATTTTTATATGTGATATTTGTATAAATTTGCAACTTCAAAAATATTTCATTTTAACAAGTTTTTAACATTTAAAAAAGACTTACCTTTGCTGACAATTTTAATTATTGATTTTGTCATCATAGGTTCTTGTAAAATTTTCTTATAGTTTTATATTATAAGTTTTATTTTTGTTTCAATTCAAAAACACCACATACAGTTTCACTGTGTTTACAATCACCGAAGTTATAAAAATAGCTTTTTTTTTTAACCATACCAAAATTATAAGCAAACCTCACTATTTGTTTACATTTTTCATCAGAAGGTTACATTTAATATATGTAATACATTTCAAACCAGTTTTACGTTGAATTATATATAATCCTTTTACATTCAAGCAATTACTCGACCAATGCAACTTAATGTGAACAAGTTTACCAAACAACAACCTAGCCAGCGAAACAAAACTTAATACATTTGAGTGCAAAATGATCTAACTAAGCCTGTCCCATCTTGTTCCACAAAGAACTATTCTTTTTCTTCGATACTGAAACATTGAAATGAAATATAAGATAATAAAGGCAGCATTTATTAAGCTTAAAGAAAAATAGTACCGTAATTGTGTCTCAAGTTGTTGACAAATCACAACACACCATGACAACTGAGGCTGATAAATACTGCTTGGCTAAATTCAAAATAAAACTACACTTATATTGAAGTTACAGGGCTTAAATCAGCACTCTTTTACTCAAAACTATTTACTTTCCTGCTAGGAAGATAAGAGTGTTGAATTATGTTGGAAAAAAAATTTCAGAAAATTCATAAACACTAATATTTGGGTTAGGAGTATGCTAAACTTTTTCATGAATAAAATTAAATAAATAAATCCGTTTTATTGAATCAACGACAATTCTGAAGGGTGTTTTTCAACGTGTGGAAGAACAATAACATTCTGTAGATATTTTAACTGAATAGTGGAATTTTGAACTTAGGGCAGAATTAACTTAACTGTACATGAAACACTTACCGCATTGCCCCTAATTAATGCTCCCTCTCTAATTATCCCCCCATTCCCAGTATTTTTATGAAGCTTACTCTGTGTAACAGCAATAGTAATCCAACATATAATGTGCTTTTATTACTATAATTTTAATTTTAAAAAAAAAACACGTACACATATTAGTATTGAAATCAATAAATCACATGTGAAAAATAGAATCCGGAACAGCAAAATTACAATAATTAGCACCACCACCCCTTTGCAGTTTGCAATGTCCCTGGGGGAATTAATTAGGGGCAATATATTAAAATTAAAAAAAAAAAGTCACTAAACTATAAACAATATATTTTAGTTAATATAATCATACAAAACAAGATTATAACTCACCTCTGGAATGTGTTCTTTGATTATACGAACAACAGCACTAAATATATTAAACCTACTGAGGGGAGCATAGATTCCTTCTGTTTTCAGACCTGTTAGTTTCAGTTTTTGAAATTATTATTAGGAATTTTTTTATGTAAAACATGTTGATCATTCAAATAACTTTTAACATATTACAAAATAAATATAAAAAAAATAACAGAAACAATTATAAGTAGAACAATCAATGTACTAGCAGCTTTGAAAAAGACCTAAAACTGAAAATTTCCTAGAAGCTGGTACATTAAGTTCTCATTTTCTTGAAATTAAATATCATTAGATATTCTGTACACGTGTTAGTATATTTTCAAATAGTTAATAAAATGACAAAATTCCACCCTAAGAGTACATCACCTAATAGGCCTATAATTGTTTAGGAGTACCTGTCACTGTACGGTGACCACGCAATGTGCTAGAAATGTGAAACGAGCACACAAAATCAACAGACAAAGCCTAATTTGCACAGATGACAATCTCAGCCACTGACTGTATTAAACATGGTATATGTTGTTATTGAAAACATTGGTAATGTTTGCAGTTGAAAACTGTTTAATTTTTGTGTGAAAAAAAGACCCAAAATGGCATAAAATCACTCCAATGTTTTCACACTTGGAAACAAATGAGCTTGTGTAAGCTGATGATGATTCAGAGCCTGAATTATCTGGTGATGATTTTGTGTGTGATATGACTGAAAAAAGAGTATATGACTAAAGGGTTACACCAAGATGGCTGAAGTTAATATTTACAAAGTTGTACCTGATAGATGTTTTCAACAAAATATGTAGTCTAACTAATAACAGAAAAAAAAAAAGGGCCAAACCAGCTAAAGCTAATTATTTTTTCAGTAGATGATTCAATATAATATAATAATAATAATCCCTGTAACTTATAAACCTCTTTAACTCAACATTATTACAAGTCATAGTAGAATCAGGATCTTCATTACCACTCTTATGAAAAGTCAGTTTGTGACTTCCGTGCATATTCAACTTTACGTTATATATATTGATCTAATAAAACTATGAGCACAACCATGACAAAACTTGATTTTAATATTACTTAATTAAAAAAGGAGATAATTATGTGACCTGTTTTGCAGAAATAACAAAACCATTCCTTTCCATCTAAAGTGAGGCAACCAGAGCTAGTAATGTCATGTTATCTTTAATACATCTAACTATTTTAAAGTTAATTTATGAAAGGATTTACTGATATTGATTAATTAATAAAAAGATAAACAGAAACATAAGAACTAATTCTTCTTCTTCTTCGAGAACACAAGCAAAGATGCTTGAAAGTGTTTATTTAACAGGTTAATTTCACAGTTACTTGATTATCTTATTATCTATAATCAGGAATGCTTTTCTGTAGCTCAACTAAAACTGTATAGTGTTATTAAATCAATAATAAATACAAAACACATGACATGGATTTGTTTTTTAAATACACTGAAAAAGTTTTTAAACGCTAAGCAACCCCTTTATATGACTTACACTAAAACTGTTTATAAAACGACCTGACATGTTATGTACACAAGTTTTATAGCGTATATTATTAGCTCTTGTAAAATAAAAACTTGATTCTTCAACTCATCAAGAACCCCAATATATTCTCCCTTAACTTCACCGTATATAATAAATGGATCCTCTTACCTGAATCACAATAAAAATTGCTTAGGTTTAAGAGTTTCTGTGCTACATCATAACGATTGCTCATGCACACCTGAAATACAGAATACCATATACCATATACTAAAAGTTATGCACAACTGAGATAAATGACAACTGAGTATTTTTTTGTTGAATTCATTGTTTTTCTACTTACAGTTGGTATCCCTTCATATCCACATCATACTCATAAAGTTTATATAATTCTACAAATTCGGTAAATAAAACACGTTGTTAAAAATTGGAGGTTACAGAAACCTTTCCACAATTGAACCATTAGAAATTACTACAATTAAACATCTTTCTTTACTTGATCCATCACATTCAGATACAACAACTGTAAGGAGATTTTGTACCTGAGGAAATTATAGAAACTAGTTGTGAATCCCTCACCTATTGTTGTATTTCCTCCTTCAATTATAAGTATTCATTGAAAACACAATTGTAATATTTTTAAAATAATTTCTCTACATACTTTCATTTTAATGCTTTTTACATGAAGTGACTGGTTTATACTTTATTCGTTAAACATTACGTACAATGTTCGGGAGAGGTAAATAATATACTGACCTTGATTTTTTCCTGTGTTTCATCATTTAACGTACAAACAGGAGGAGGGCACCTTTGGCAATATATGCTCATCTATGAAAGATTTTAAAATTCTTGTTATAACATGTATAATCTGTAGTTATATATATGTGTGTGTGTGTGTGTGTGTGTATATAGATAAACCAAATTTACTTTTTTTAATGATTTTTCATTAACACACTCTCTCTAAGAGCTTGGTTGATTCAACCAAGTTCATGAACCCATACTATAGCTTTTAATATGTGTTTTGTATCTTCATAAAATTTGACAAGCTTTCAGTAAACATTACAAGTCTTTTGTAGACATAAAATCAAGATCTGTTAATTAAGTAGTTTTGCTAATATTTTGTCCATTAATATAAGAAGTCAAAGTGTTGACTGCTCCAAGTACAAAGTGATTTTCATGTTAAAATTAAAAATACCTTTATCTGAAAACTGTGAAATTTCATTTGTGTAATCTCTAAAATTTGCTAGATAAATATCAAACTTTTTTTTTCAATAAAACTTTAAATTTTGTCTGTTATTTTCTATACCTTAACTCAACACCCATTAAATAACACCCATATAAAAATAAGAAATACATCTAAATTTTCTTTCTTTCTAGAATGGCTACAAATTGTAACACAAAACTATAACTATTTATCCTAAATAAATTAAAGATTGTAACAGTAGATATCTGCTTCTACTTTACTGTATTGTTTTACTGCCATTTGAACTGTGTCTAACTAATAATCCTGCCACAAATTGTAAATCACTTGGCAAACACGCACCTCATGTTACTGTATCGAATTACATAATACATGAGCATATCTCATGAATAACTTTTCATTATCTTACCTAATCTAATCTAACAAGTTTCTTATTTTTACATTTTAGTTACTTTTATAATAATGAATAAAGAATGCACATGAAAAACAAGAAATATAATACTCACCTCTTCATTTATTTTATTTTTTTGTTCTCAACTATTGATGAAACTTAACCCTACTTTTGTTATACTAATGATACTACTACACTAAATAATTTATGTTCTATTAAATAATGCCACTAAGAACACAAACCAACACACAATGTCCTATAACTATCATAATTTTTCTGGCTTTTTGAATACAAGATAAGAGCCATTAAAAATTTAGCTAAGCTAGTTGATGTGAATGCCATTAGACAAAGTTTCAAACTGGAGGCAAAATAGACAATTCTCTGTACAGAAAACAATATAATATAATACATAACTTGATAAATTAAGATTTTGGCATTCTATTGGTTATAAACAATATAGTATAAAATGTCAGAGAGAGAACTTTTGACAATTTGTGAAAGAGGGGATGTAACAGGTGAGCATGGCAAGTGGGTCTAATTTTCTAGTTTATGACTCCGTAAACAAACAAGATTGAAAGCTATAAAAATTATGCTTTGCCTCAGTAATATCTTTTTTATAACGAGTAATTTACATTAAATTCTGTGCTTCTCAGGGAAGTGGCAAATATATTAGAGAAGATGGAAGACCTACAGAGCAAATATCACAATTCTCCTACTAGGGGGAGATTACAGATTTTTTTAAAATATTTCCTTATAAAATAATATAATACAACTTATATAATATTAAAATTTGATTTATTAACAATGCTTGTATACAAAGTTTATTCATATACGATAATAATAAAGTAGTTTAATTAAATTTTGAATGTAACGCTACGAAACAGTGGCATGTGCACTTTGACCTGCCCAAAGTGAGAGGGTTAAATTAATTCAGTTGGGGGGAAGATTAAAAGATTGTTCTATTTTGTAAACCATGTATTTTCAAATTATAAGAACAGGTAGATAAAGAATTCAATTTAAAAATAAATGGATGATCATTATTTTTGTATACAAAAGATACTAGTGTATATATATACACATGACAAAAATGTTCAACAAGCTAGACAAATTATGGCATAATGTATCTGAAAATGAGCTTCTCATGTGTAACAAAATTGCTGATTGATCATAGTTTTCTTTTGTCTAGTTCTTAGATAGCAAAATCACAGAACTGATGGTCCAACTCTAGAATAAGATTTGTACTTGCTACAATGAAAAAACTAATATTAGCCACACAATTAAAAGGTTTACATAATAAAAGATTCTTAGCAAAATGTTTACCTGAAGTAATGCTACATTTTTATACAAATTAACTGGTCTTAAAAAACTTTTCGCTAACACAAGTTTCTCATGTATAAAAATCAGTTAAAACATTTTAAAGTTATTCTTCTTCTCTGGAGAAGTGTTTCAAATAAAATTTAATCACTCATCGTCCAGCCCAACTGATGAGTTCTGGTACTGCTTGTTGTAGTTAAACACACAAAGCTATACAATGGGCTATCTGTGCTCTGCCCACCACAGGTATCAAAATCTGATTTTTATCATTATAAGCCCATAAATTTACTGCTATTTTACATTCCTCTGACTTGAAACCAATAACAGCAATATGATAAAAAATGCAATTTCATACGACTTTTATAATAAATATTAGGTTTACTGACACGCACATTCTTCAACAAAAAATTTTCACTCATTAACAAATTTCTTGGAGACATAGCAGACACCTATCAATAGCTTTATTATGATGTTCCTCATTTTCAGCACTTTCTACAAATATAAACATTTTTCTGTTACAACAGTGACTAAATCAAGCAGTATATTTTATTACTAACAGGCTAATGTAAATGTTTCCATTCTAAGATCCCAACACAGTACCTACCTAACAAATCAATTATTGAACTTTTATAGCTTAAGAAAACAACTTCCTACTCACCTTAAAACCACTAGGTGTTGTGATAATTCCATTCAATTTCTTTAGTCCATTTGCTTGCTCAACTTCATTTACATAGAACACAGCTGCATTTCCGACATAGCCAAACTTTACAATAAACAGGGAAAACATCACACACATATAATTATTACAGTCCTTAACGAGGCAAGAATCTTCACTGATGCTAGTTTTTTTTACATAGCCTTCTCATCTTGATAAGCCTAAATGGCTCAAGTTTACATATACATGCTTTGAAACTGATTAATTTCATTGGTTTTTATCAAGATGGCTCATGACCACCAACAATAAGAAAAAAAATTATGGGATATCATATTTAAAAAACAAAATCTTAACATTTTTATTAAATAATGCAGCATGGAAGTCTATTTATTGCTGAAACTTGTAAAATCTTGCAGGAATCGAGATAAACTTTCATCTTCAGAATAGGTGTGGATACAAAGCTAATCCTACTAATAACCAAGATAAACTTTCATCTTCAGAATAGGTGTGGATACAAAGCTAATCCTACTAATAACCAAGATAAACTTTCATCTTCAGAATAGGTGTGGATACAAAGCTAATCGTACTAATAACTAAGATAAACTTTCATCTTCAGAATAGGTCTGGATACAAAGCTAATCCTACTAATAACTAAGATAAACTTTCATCTTCAGAATAGGTCTGGATACAAAGCTAATCCTACTAATAACTAAGATAAACTCATTAAAACTGGAACCAATTTTGTGTGCTATGAAATTTTGAAACCTATTCGCTTCATACCAAGTGAACAAATGATAATGTCCTAACAAATGTAATATCTTCCATTACTTAGCAGTCTAACTGTTAGCCTGACATCGTCCTTCGGAGGTTCAGCTTTCAGTGATAACCATATTGTGACCAACTACAGTTATGCTATCTTAACAAGGACCAGTAGAAAGGAATGTATGTAAACAAAACGGTGAAATATTGCTGTGTTTATTACTGTAGTTAATGATACCACCTTTCCTAAGAACTAACAGTAGGTTACTGAAGGTTTGTACTTTACAACAAATTGTGGGCTAAACAGCATGAGGTTTAAATTATAAACTATAAACACTTGTAATAATAT